ATTTACCTGTTCTTCAATCAATTCTTGTAGTTTTAAGCCTAATTCAGCTTCTTCCTCTGATGTTTCTTGGTCTTCTATGTATTGTTTATCATCTAGATTAATATAGCGTGTTACTGTGGGTTCTGCTGCTACTGTTGTTGTTTTTGCTGTTGTATCTAACGAGCTTAGATGATCGTCTTCAGATTCACTATTATTGCTTTTATAAAGGTCGGGTTCATCGCTCTCATCGTCTTCTTGTAACTGAAGTTCGTTGGATGCAGAGAATTCAGACTTCTTTTTCTCGTCTGTTTCAGTAGGTGCGTAAACAACAGCTGGATCAACCCTTGTTTCGGGTTTTGGAGGTGCAGGTATAGGCTTCTTTTTAGAAATGCCTGATCCGTACTGCACCATACTCATGATCTTGTCTTCCAGATCACTATCCATACCATCGCTTTTTTTTTATAGTGTTAGCTTGTTTATATCGTTTTTTTTTTTTTTTTTTACTTTTAATTACCTTGAGTGTCCTTCATCTTCGTCAGCGTCAAGCGCTTTATCTTCGTATTGACGTAATAACTCGAGTTCTTCTTCGTCCTCTTCAAACATTGTATCAAGACAAGAAAGAGAGAAAAAAAAACAAATGCATTAGAATTGTAAACAAGTCACAATTGTCGGGAATCAAAACGCGTATATTCTTTCAGACCCAAAAAAAAATACTTGCATTTATCTCTTTACAACAATGGATACTTGGAGTGACGCTTGGCTTGACTGTCTTGTCAAACACCCTATATTTGACTTGAATGATGCAGAGAAACAGAGATCTGATATTATTAAGAACAGACAAACATGTCAAGACAATAATGTAGTTGGTTTTGTTCTTCAACACCATACGCGTGTCATTACACTCAGAGACAATGATCTCTTGGTAGCTATTGGCAGTGAAATACGAGCTTTGAACTTGACTAGCTTTAAAGATGCTTGGATTGAAGCTTCTGAGCAAGCTTGCTCTCATAATACAGCCTTATTAGATAGTTGGATGAATGCTGTGCCTTACAAAGTAATTCTTGATACGCGTTCTCTTGATTGAATACTAAATCGACCACTTTAGGTATTGAATACACCAGAAATCGATTTTGTGATTGAATCCATCACTCCCAACAAAAATGGTCGACTTTTAGCTGTCACTGGCCAAAGTAGCCTTGTGATTGTTTGTTTGCCTCGACAAGGCTTTTCTGATCTCTCGGATACAATGACTGTCAAAAGGATTGATTGTCGTACTCTATTGATTGGTTCCCAATACTATGATAAATCCAAGCATGAGGTTCTTAAAGTAGAATGGCATCCTTTAAGTGAGACTCGTACACATATTGTTGTTCTTGGTAATGATAATACATTAAGGTAAATATATATAACTACTCTTATTTACCTTTCTTTCTCTGTCTACATTTGACTCATCATTTGTGTAAATAGAATTTTTGATGTGAGTGCAGATATTGATGAACCTGAACAATCGTTTGATTTGTCTCCTGCTATACAAACATCAAATGAGCCTAAGGTTGGCTTTTCTTTGGATGAAGATGATAGTTCAGAAGATGCAGTAACATTTAGTTTGGGTGGTTCTAGCAAAAACACAAGTGGATGGGAACCTTTTACTGTGTTTTATGCTCTTCGTAGTGGTCACATTTACTCGCTCTGTCCAGTTATTCCTTATCGCAGTATGGTTCGCCGTAGTCATTTAGATAACCTTGCCTGTATTTCGGATGCTAAATATGAACAAGCCAAATCAAGTACAGTAGAGGAACACAAAGTGCTGTCCCATTTGTTTAAACTACAGAGTTTATGGATCAACACTTTGTTTGAATCTGCCAAGATTGCTCATGGATTAGACAGTGATGGACTGCTTGTTATGAGTGACAAGCACCATAGTCTTCATCCTGTACAAAGACAAGGTCCATTTATGATCAATCATACTGACATTCTTGCTAATGGAGCTGAACCCTCTGACATTCTCTATGTCAATGCTGATCCAGTGCATATCCTTGCCTTGAGTCTAAACAATGGGACTGTACACAACTATATTTTGGGCAGTGAAATTGATGCACAATGGCAAATGTCTGTCAAGAACCCTACCAAAACATGGGAAAAGGAGGCAAGTAACATACAACTTGTTTATATATATATCTTACATGCTTCTTTTTTTTTTTTTTAGTTGGCTAATTTATTGTTGGGTTCTGAATATTTGCCTAAGGCTTCTTTGTATGAGACAATTCAACTTGTTAAATCAAAGACAGCCCCTCTATTCCAATCTATGAGTTTAATGGCTGATCCCTTATATCAAGATACTTATTTTGTTTATCATGCTACTGGTGTTCATGCTATTGCTATGCGTCCATGGTTAGAGAGTCTTCAGCAACTCAGTTCAGTCTATGAAGATGGAGATGCCACACAAGCCAAGACAAAACTCGTCAACTGGCTTAAAGAAAAGAAGTCTTCAGATGTACGATTGTTAGTGGATTCAGCACCCTTCCAGAACGGATTTATGCCTATGATTGGCTTGGCTCTTGTGACAGACATGTATTTGTCTTATTCTTTGTTGACTATCACAACTGATTATCACCTTGTCACTCGCGACTTAAACATGCGCCGTGATATTCCTGAGTCTCAAGCATCTCAAAATGCAGTCAAGGCTCAACTAAAGAACATTGGTACAGAAGATGACTCAATAAGTGGATATCAAGCTGTGTTGCCTTTACCTGCTTTTCAACCCCCACCTCAGTTGGATACATTACCTAAACAACCCAAGATTGTGGTCCCCCTGATATGAGTGGATCTAAAGAAATTGTGGTAAATGAAGAAACACTTCGTTTCTTTGCTGAATCAACTGAGAAGATCCGATCTGAAGCCAGAATATTAAAACAAGCTGCTTCCAAGATGGATGTCAGGTATGAAAAACGCTGCCTTTATGTGAACAAATGACTCATGGGTATATAGATTGACAATGCAAGAAAAAGAATTCAAAAGACAAGTAAAAGTATTAAGAGAATTATATTACAAGCTACAAGAATCCAACTCGGAAGAAGCAAAACAAGCGCAACAACAGAAATTAAAAGAAATCACAAAGAGACATGCTCAATTACGCTTACGTATTGATGCACAATTACGTGATTTAATGAAAGCATATCAACCTGATCTTTCGAATGAAGAGAAAGATTGGATTGATAGTCTGGAAAAGCTTTCAAAGAAGGTTTCTGGTGACTCGGGCTATGTGGCAAGAATCAATATGGTTTGTTATAGAACACTTGTTTGTTGCATAAACTCATCATTCTGTATAGCTTCAATCTCAACTAAACCAACTTGAGGCTCAAAGGACAAAGGTGTACAAGCCCAAGATCAACAACATGAATCCAGCACAACTCCAAGGCATTTTACGTACATTAAATGAGCAGTAAGTATTCATTTTATTTTATATCTATCTCACGTTGCTTTAGATCAACTACCATCAAGCAAGTTACTGAAAGAATGGATAAACTTGATACTAAATTACAAACTACTTAAACAATAAAAATAAGATCTACGTCTTTGTTGATCCATATTGAATTGGATTCACTTCTTCTAGTTGAGGATCAGGTTCTTGGCTTTTACCAGGACCATGAAACCATTGACGAGCACGGAAATGATAATAACCGATAGAACACACCATCACAAACACAAAGATGACCGAAGCATAATTCATATTCGCTGCTGTGACTGGAAATTCAGTAGGACAGAGAAACAAGGCAGAAGTGAACAAGATCCAGAAACAACTGATACTGTTGATAATATTAGAAAAGGGGCCTAGATGAAAAGGACCCTTTTCAAATGTCTTGCGAGCCACTGTCAATCGAAGTGCGATAGGTATAAAATAAGCCAAAGAGGAAGCAATAGTATTGATAGACACAATTGCATTAAATGCAGTTTCATTCACAATATAGAGTAGACCAACCACGGCAGCAAACACAATGTTGGCCCAGACTGCATAAATAGGTGTTTGTGTAGATGGGTTGATTACACTCAGCCATCGACTGAGAGGCATGGCACCGTCACGAGCGAACGCATAGACCATACGTGAACTACCCAGTGTCAATGCAGATCCTGAAAAGAACATGGCTCCCATGATAATGACAGTAAACACCACAGTCCAGCTGTACCCTACACCATCTAGAAACACTTGTGTCATTTGAGGGCTGAGTGTGGTCTCTACAACTTGACGTTGAAAATCTTGAACACAGAAATTGACAGAGAGCAGAAACACAAAACCTGTGATGGCTGCTGCACCTATAGCATATAAAATACCTTTAGGTGCTGATCGAGCAGCGTCTCGTGTTTCTTCAGACATGTGTGCTGCACTGTCAAATCCTGATAGCGTATATTGAGATTGTAACAGGCCAATGAGAAAAGCATAGGAATCTGAACTAAAGCCTGTATCGTTTTCAAAATAAGTAAAGACCCATTTAGCACTGGGCTTGTTGGGTGTCAATACAAGTGCTACCACAATAATCAGTAGGGTGCCGATTAAATGCCAATAAAGTGATGCTTGGTTAAAGAACCCATTGTATTTGATATGCATAGAGTTGATCATGCCATGAATAAATAAGATCACCAAGAAGATACCATATTGCCAGTATATACCAGCACTGTAGTCTGGGTTGCGAATACCAATCACAGAAGACATGAATTGAGTAAGACCAAGATCGGCAGAGGTAATAGCAACCGTAAGACCAAGCCAGTTGCACCATCCTGTCACATAGCACATGATAGGCACCCATTCAGGAGGTGCAAGGCGAGACACCCAGATGTAAAGACCGCCAGTGACTGGAATAGCTGAGCAGATTTCTGCAAGAGATAGACCGACACCAAAAGTAAAAACGGAAATCAAAATCCATCCCCAAATCACACTGATAGATCCACCAGACATCATGGCATCTCCCCACATCTATAGAAATAAGTTAATCAAGCTGCGTATGATTAGATATCGATTATTACAGGAGTTAGGCCGGACAAGATGGAACAACATCCGAAAGCAATAGAGAAATTTGAAATAGTAGACATGGTTTTGTTCATTTCCTATGTAAACGTATGCATATGAGCTGACAAGCCACTATCTGAAAGAGTTTGCTTTTTTTTTTTTTTTTTTTTAATACCTGCTTATATCCAAAAGAAATAAGAATTTGTTCTTCTGAAGTATATCGAGATCTTCGAGCTCTTTCTTGATCGTACTGTATGGATTGATCATGTTGTTGATTGTTATTGTTTTTGACCATTCAATGAATATTTGTTGCTAGAAAAAAAAATATTGGGTAGCCAATCAAAAAAAAACAAAAAAGTTGTTCAACTTTTTTGTTGTTTGTTTTCTTCTTTGTCTTGTTGTATGAGTTTGCTTCTGTTGAGCCTTTCTTTAATAAAGTAAAGAAAAAGATAAATAAATAAAAATTTTGACAGATCGTATCTAAATCAGTCGGAGATCAACTTGACAACCAAAGCAAATATATATATATAGAGAGAGATGGAAATAGCTTCTTTTTTTTTTTTAATATATAATGTCTATCCGTCTAAGAGACTACATATATCAGGAAAGTGTCAAACTAGATTGCAGTCTACAAGAACTATAAGCTTAATGATCTTTATATCGAGAATAAAAGTAAAGCTGAAAGTATTGTATCAACTAAAATCATTTTGACTGGACTCTCAAACCTTGCCATTAGTTGTAAAAAAAGTTGACTATTGCAAGAAAGCATTTGACATGGATCTAATTGTGTTAGAAGTTTTTTTTTTTTTTTTTGTGCACTCAATTTTATAACAATACTATCATTTGTTAGTAATAGTATGATTTAATATGAGATGCTTTCATTGATTATCATATCGCTTTTACTGTATTTGCCCTCTTTGAAAGATTCAATGCCAACTTCTGACATAAACCTCTATCTTGATATATATTTGTACTGTGAGTTAAAGAGATTCAGCGCTATATGTCGGTCGTCTTCGTTGTTTGTACCCTTATCCTTGTGTTTGTCTTTTCTTTTTTCTTCTCTTTAATATTACTATATTGTTTTCATTAAAAGTTATATCTGTTGCCGTATTTCTGCATTTCTTGAATCTCTTAATTTTGACATGATCATTGTCATACATAGTTTTACTTATTAGAATAGTCTTATAACTCAATGAGTCTTATTCTATTACAAATTGAATTCCTTAATCCTTACGAGTTCATTATGACTAGAAGCTTCTTAAATTAGAATTGGTAATCATTACCTTAATAAACGAGTATATGAACCGTTTAAATTATTATTCATCAATGAAGATCAGATTTCGTTTCAACCATTCGGTTTAATTGTTAGATAGTTAACATTAGTTTGAATAGTTGTTTTTGTTTATTTCACTAGGAAAAGTTGTTTACTTTATCATTTCTCATTGATCTTTTACTTTGAATCATTTACTTAAAACTTTGCTACCTTAAGAATGTGATGTTCATTATATACAACTGCTTCTTAATCTAGATTATATTACACTATCTCTTCGGTACTGCGGTAATCTGAGCACTTTCAATACAAAATATAATAAATAGTCTTCCATCATATAAATGAACAATTACTTATAGAATTATACATCATAAATATAAAGTAAGCATCGTATAATGACAGTAAATAACGGTAACTGGGATAATATGGATATTTACAAATAAGAAAACCATAATAGTCAATTCCCAGGCACAATCTGTCAAAATATTAAGTAATCAGTAATCAGTAATCATAATTAATCAATAAATCAGGTAGCATAAAAGACAAGCTGAAAAGATATCTTTTAGAGAATTATCATTATTTTTGTAATAAAGAAGTACTGAACAGTCTCACTGTATTTCTTGTTTTCTTTTCTATTTTCAATTATATTTCATTTCACAAACTAAATAGCACAGGTACTTTAACGTTATAAAAACTAAACCTTGTCCCATAACAATTTAAAAAAAAAAGACAGTTTCATAATTAGATTTTCCTGTGTCTATTCACCAGAACGTCTCACGAAACATGAAACTCGCTAAAAAAAAGAGCCCAACGTGGGGGTCGAACCCACAACCTTGAGATTAAGAGTCTCACGCTCTACCGATTGAGCTAGCTAGGCGGTGCTTATATTTGTCATGTGTGCATGTTTGTTTTGGTTCGCTTTTTCGTTCTCTTTCGCGGTTTTTCTGGTGATTCTATTATGTTAACAAATCTTCAAATTGGAATGGTGCATGTCTCTGATGTTCCTTAAAGTACATACAAAGTTTGGTGTGATTTGGTCTAGGTCTGATGGTACAATGGTGTTCCAAAGATTTCAGCCAATGGTTCTGTCTTCTGTCAGACCCAATCAGATTCGAGTCAAAACTACTGATCGGTGTGTCAATTGTTGGGTCTGGGTCTCAATTGTTGTACTTTTTTTTGGTTCCTTATTTGTCCTACTTCTTCCGTATTTTGTTTCATGATATGTTGCTGTGATTTAATTGTGTATTTTATTTTGTTTTATTTTGTTTATTGTATTTGACAGTTCATCTCAGTTTGAATCTGTTGAATTTTATAATTTAATTGTATTAATTGTTCTCCTGTTTGACATTTCAAACGTAATTGCTTTTTGGGCAAGTTTGATCTGTTCTAGATTAATGACAAGCAATTGTCTTTGTAGAAATTTATTCTAAAGAAAGTATAAAAGCTTAAAGAACTTTAGAAGGAATAAAAAATATCAAGAAATTAATCTTAAAATCGAATTTTTTTTATAAATTTTATTTTACATATATCTTCATTGTCTTTTGAAGGAACTGTGCCTAAGGTTATAATCTCTCTATTTGTGTCTATCTCTCTATAATTACAATAGTCTTTACAGTCTTCTGTTGTTAATTATTGGTTTATCTCTTTTATTTGTTGGTCTCGTCGTTCAAGGTAAACACAAAGGGAAAAGAGGGAGTTGTCAAGTGGTCCGGCCTACCAGATCATATATGTGTTCTAACATGTATTATTACTCAAGTTATATTATGTCTATTAAAGAAGCAAACTCAAGTACTAAACGTGGTGCTGGTATGAGGTTCATGAATGAGCCTAGAGAGTTCTCTGGTGAAGGTGATGGTAATTCTGCTTTGGTTTGGGTCAATCGTATGCAAAGGTTGAAGGTCTCAGGAGGTTTGAGTGATGAAGAAATGTTGTTCGTCGCTAGTGACAAGCTTGTTGGTAAAGCAGAGACTTGGTTCAACGTGGTTGGTGCAAATACAGTTACCTGGGATGCCTTCGTGAGCGCTTTTAAGAAGCAATATTTATATGATCAAGAGGATAAGTTTTGGAGTCAAGTACAAGGTCTTAGACAAGGTGCTGAATACCCCTCAGTGGATGATGTTGCACTCAAGATGCAAGAGTTGTTCATGCTTTTAGACAACAAATCGCAGAGTTTGCAAGTGCGTACGTTTCTTAACGCTATCAAACCCAACATTGCTTTTGAGGTGGAAAAAGAAGGTGCACCGGTGACTTTTGAAGAGGCGAAAGTAAAGGCTATGCAGATTGAGCGTAGTTTGGTCAAGTACGCAAGTACTATTGGTTTTGAGCCCGTTGAGACTGTAGTCCCTAAGTTTCCTGTGTCTGCTCCTTCGGTTGCAAGTGGTTCTGTATCGGATGCTGCTTCTATGTCCAGTATGTTCTCTTTGGTGGACAAGTTAGAAAGGTTGAGCATTAATTTGGTAAACTTAACTAACAGTGTGGCTCAAAATGGTACTCGTGGTAATACTGGTGGTGTCGCTTCTGTTCGTCGTAATTTGGTCTGCTTTTACTGCAATAAAGAAGGACATAAGAAGCCTGAGTGTCCGGAGTTCTTGCAAAAGAACAATTTTGGGTCTGGGGTTGCAAGTGGTAGTAATGCTATACCCATTGGTAATGGGTCTTCAAACTTTTCTGGTGAAAGCCAGGGAAAAGAGAAGGAGTACCGATCTTAAAGGAGGTGATTGGTACTCGTAGTAATGGTGAAAATCCTCTAAAGAAAAATGACAAGTCGGTGAACTTGGTTGATACCCTGAATGACAACGGTGTTAACGAGATTTACGGTGTGAAGAGACCTGTGTCTGCTGTGCCAGTTGATACGCCGAATAAGCGGGGTAATAAGGGAAAAGCGGTGGATCAAGGTGATGTAGTCATGACTATGCCGGTTCCAGTTGGTAATGGTGCTTTTGTTCCTGCAGTTGATGGTATTGCTGCTCCTGTTAGGGGTGAAAATGTTTTTCCTCCGGTTGTTGGTGGTGCTGGTCCTGTGGTCAAGTCAGGAAAAAGCGGTCAAAACCTCGTAGGTTACCTGTCAAGACTAATACCTTGAATGTTTGGGACACTTTGAGGAGTTTAGACGCTGGTCTTTCAATGTTGGATTGGTTAGCTATCGACCAAAGTGCTGCTAGGGATGTTAGTGATGGTCTGAAAGACTTGAGGCTGCAGCGACCAAAGAGGGCAAAGAGACATTTAGCTGCTGCGGTAGAAAGAATGAATGTTGGTGCTAGAATTAATGTAGTGGATAATGACTCGTCAAGTGATTCTGCTGGTTATGATTCTGGAGATTCTGGTATGTCTGGTTATGGTTCTGATGTTTCTTTGGACTCGGAGTTGGTGATGGTATCTGATGAAGCGGATTTGGCTTTGAGTGAAACAGAGTCGGTGTATAGATATCCATACAATTTGAATCGAATGAAGGTCAGCTCTCCTTTGCGTGGTGTGGTGACTATCAATGGTAATGCTGTTGAGGCTATCTTTGACACTGGGGCAAGTGTGTCGGTGATCTCTAAAGGATTGGTTGATGCTTTGGGTCTAGTACCAAATGGTGATAGTTTGCATTTGGTTGGGTTCAATAATAAGAAGGCGCCAAGCAAGAGCAATGTGGTCATGGATGTACCAATCTCTGTAGCTGGTAAGGTGCGACCGGATCATATGTGTGTACAAGACGAAGGTGACAAGAATGACAAGCTCTGTTTGCTCGGTGTTCCTTGGTTTCAAGCATACGGTATTGAAATTAATTTGTCTGAGTCTACTATTCGTATACCGTCTACAAGTGGGATGGTGAAGTTGCAGTGTTACACCACTCATTTGCCTGTGTCTTCAAGCAAGGTGTATCATGTTGAGGCTTCGCAAAAATATACAGAGACGTTTGAAGAAGGCTTGGGTCCTATTGGCGTTGAAGGTGAATCCAGGTCTAGTGGGTTTAATGGTGGTAATGTAACTGATGGTGTTGATCCATTATTGATGCCTGTTGTTGAAGAATTCAAACACTG